ATATTTTTGTTGCCTCAAGTCTCTCCTTCATCTGAAGAGATTGTACAGCATAAACTGCCATACAGGAGGGGGACCGATGTTACATAACATTTCAGTACGCTTCTTTTTTTTTTGGTTTCTAATGAAATTTTCCTGTTTCTTTATACATTGCATAACTTTCTACTTAAGCTATCACCTGAAGAATCTATCACATGAAGAAGGCCAGAGCGTACAATGGCCGAAACGTCGTGAATATGGCAATAAAGACGTAGGCAGGAATCCGAACAATGTAGTAATGTAAATAAGTGTGATATCTCGTCGCAGAAATAGACAGATTGTAATCCTAGTGAAATGTGATGATGTGTTATGTTCCTCACCCTCTCTCTCTCTCTCTCTCTCTCAAGTTCATATCTATCTATCTATCTATCTATCTATCTATCTATCTATCTATCTATCTATCTCAGCGTATTCGTATCTATCTATCTATCTATCTATCTATCTATCTATCTATCTCAGCCTATTCGTATCTATCTATCTATCTATCTATCTATCTATCTATCTATCTCATCCTATTCGTATTCGTATCTATCTATCTATCTCAGCCTATTCGTATCTATCTATCTATCTATCTATCTATCTATCTATCTATTCTATCTCAGCCTATTCCTATCTATCTATCTATCTATGTATCTAGCACAGCGTATTCGTATCTATCTATCTATCTATCTATCTATCTATCTATCTATCTATCTATCTCAGCCTATTCGTATCTATCTATCTATCTATCTATCTATCTCAGCCTATTCGTATCTATCTATCTATCTATCTATCTATCTATCTATCTATCTATCTATCTATCTCAGCCTCTTCGTATCTATCTATCTATCTATCTATCTATCTATCTATCTATCTATGTAACTCAGTTCTTATCTATCTTTATATCTATTTATTTTTATATCTATTTATCTATGTCTGTTCATATCTATCTATCTATCTATCTATCTATCTATCTATCTATGCAGTAATTTTTGCTGAAGATGATTGATTCAAATAATACGAAACACGAAGATGCTATTCAGTAAGGATTGGACGTTTTTACTTAGATTTTCAAGTGTTGTATTGAGACACTTTGTTAGCAGAAGTTCTGTAACATTTATATGTACGTTCAATTATATCATTTGACATATATTATTTGCTA